TTACACAGTTACGGGTGTTTGTGAAATTTCCAAAACTTCTATGTCGGGTTTCAGTCATGCGCTTAAAAAGTGTGGAGTCAAGTTAGGAAACACTACTGACTGTCTATACCGCCCTTTTGGCCTTTACTGACAGCTTCGACTGAAATAACTTGGGAAAACGTCCTTGAAACATTTCCAGCTATCTTTCATGCCCTTTAGTTTCAATGAGAGGCAATATTTGTTAGCTTTGTGGAGAAGCCCCTGCCGACCAGCAGCCATGCGACTATTGAGCGTCCGCGGTTATAGTCTGGGACGAGGACACGCATTTAATAAATGAACTCTAATGCTTTTCAAGCCCCCCTACAGAAGATCCCATAAAAAAAAGCCTGGAAAAAGACCTCAATTAGTCGAAAGAGAATACCGTTGCTTCTACGGAGCTTCGAATAACAAGATATGGAGAAAGCTGTCTAATAAAATTCAGTGGTTGTCATATCTTCTACAAAGAGAAAAATCCATAAAAAGGCTCTCTTTATGCTTCAAACGACTGAGGAACGCATAACATGCAAAAGTTGTAAAGAAACCAGAACCTACTCAATTATAGAGTATACATAAGTTGCAGAAACATGTGGTTCGTGGAAAGCAAATGTGAGTCAATAATGAGAGATACATACACCGAGAACTTGCAGCTGATATCGAAGTAGTTCTTTTTGTAGGCAAACTTATCTAACTCTTAAAAGCAGTGTGTTATCAGCAAGATTAATATTCGAACCGCAGAGATTAATATTCTATTACTTAAACCTGCATGCTTCACGTATAGTTACCCAGTTAGTGAAATTTAACCATAGCACCATAGAACTAAGCTGCTACTGCTACTACTTCTGTTACTGCTAATAACTGGTAATTTCATAAATATTTATAGCTATACTTGGTATTCAAATTTGTTGTATAGACACAGAAGAAACAAGCGTTGGGGCTGGCCTTGTTTCCTCACAATGCTTGGATACGATCATCGCTGTCTGTTCGCTAAGCTAATCTTTTGCCATAGACTTATTCAGCTTGTCCTTCACCGCTCTGGTCGCCTTTTACCTAGCAATCTATCACCATATATAATCCTAAACATGCGCATCTTTCGACGCGAACGAACCCGGCGGCTCGTAGCGACCACCATTAATGTAAGCATCAATGTACGTTGTTATTCAATAGGCCGAAACTGCTCGTGGTGTTACAGCTTTTATGCTGGTTATGAGGGCTCGATATCAGGAGCTGACCAAACCGCAGGCACTCGCTGAATGAACGCCTGCCCCGCTCCCTTCTGTCAACATTCCCGTTCGTTAATAGCCCGCTAACGTTTTCAATACAGCAGTATACACGTACGCAAGGTGGCATTGAGAGGCTTTCTGCTAGCTTGTCCACTATTCACGCCAGTTGCTCGACTGTTGTGAGTCGGCAATTCCTCTATAGGCTTTGTGGCAGAAGGGTATCGCTGGCCTAAAGACTAATACGTAGCTCCTGCTAGTAGTCCTTACCACCGCGTGAATCTGATGGTACCAGCCCTAAACCATCGGCAACGTTACGCAGACCAGTTAGGACATAGTATTCGCCGTAGCAATAAATGAGAAAGCTCTAGCACCAACTGAGAAAAAGAGCTCTAAGAGAGCACCAGCTGAGGGCGGATCAAAATCCATTAACCGCCGTGGCTGCCACAAATGAGGTGACTTTCACCGCCGTTGGGCGCTCGAACTTGCGATCGTCATTGTTTTTTTTCACGCTGCTATCTATTTTATCGTTGACGCTCATAACAGCAACGTTGGCTATGCCAGCGTCGACGCCGTCGGATCGTTTCGTTGCCGTCATAGCCGCGGCGTCATAGATGCTAACGCGAACAGGTGCCCTCGCTTCGTACGCTGCTTTCCAAACCCAGTCCGCTTTGGCCGCGCTCAGGTCTCATAAACGAAAGATCGATGTAAGCTGACTAGGCGGACGCCGAAAGGAACGAGGGCAAACGAACGAGCAGGTCGAGTGCACTCGTTTGCACACTCATTCGCTTACTCGGCCACTCGACAGTGAACGAGATGCTCTCCCGTGGCCTCTGTTTCCTGTCGACTGCCCATCTTCGTGTTGTTACCTGCATGGTCGACTCCTACTGGAGCTGAGGTGACTGGGAGACTCGAAAAGCCTGCGTCCATGTAAACGAGCCACAGCAGCTAGTCGAACAGCAACGGGGCAATTGCTAAGCGGATTAAGACCGTTTTGCGCTGCACAGTGCCAGATAGGTTACTGCCGCAGTACTATAAATACTGCACCCATTGCTTCTCCTATTCCTACTCGTTGTTTTGAACTAGTATATATATATACCGGCTTGCCCGACGAACGAAGGCCGAAGACAGCCTAGGCTATGGCATCATATAAATTGGTGATGAAAGCCAGCGCCTTTTGCCGTTCGGCATTCGTTTGGAGCAAGCATAACTGGAAAGCAAGCAATGCCAGCTGTCCGGCAACGCTGTTCCTTACCTGCACTGCCTGTCCTTTACGACTTCCAGCTACATCTCAAAGCTTTGTTGTTCTAAGAGACAAAAAATAACAAAAATAACGTTGCAGACCGGGAACGATCTACAAAATCAGCTTGGTAAGAATCTAGCTAGCCCTGGACGATTGCGCACTGAAATCCCTGGAGCCACGAGTGGTAGTTCCTACAGATATCGATCAAAGGTGCACATCTACAATTTGCTGGGAGCAAATGGTAAAAAGGGTGACAAATAAGACGTAAGGAGAAATGTTGGGCGGGAACACATGGAAATTCCGCTATGAACAAGAAGAAGTGGTAAGTTCACGGCGTAAATGACAGTAACTTAGCCGGTTGGTTACTTCAAAAAGCATTTATATGTATGTTGCTCGCGTACACGCGTCCACGGGTCGTATGTAATATCTTTCATTCGCGATCGTAGCAGCAGTATCCAGAAGAAAAGTAACGCTCACCCTTTCATCTATTCACAGGCAAACTTTTATCAGTACCTACAGTTCACCTGTCTAGTGTGCACCTATGTAGAGATGGTACATATCAAGCCGTTGTAAGTGAGTTCGGCGAACTCTAAAACCGAATAACCAAAAAAGATTCTTTTTTTGTACGCGTTGTACCTATTCTTTTTTTATTTTGTACACATTTGTGTTGGCACCTTCGTGATTTCTGCCCGATCATACACATATTCACACTCCCATATATAATTTCTCTACCTATAGCTTCTCGAAATAGGTCGACAGTGGGTTTGCTCGCTCGTTGCCTTTATAGTTGCCGGGGCATAGGAAGCCCCGTATTCACACGGATCTAAATCGGGAAAATAAGCGAGTCAAAGCCAACGTTGGATATCCTTTTGCTCAATCCAGGAAGTAATTAATGCATGGCGATAAGGTCTAGCATTGTCGCCAAGTAACCAGGTTGCGTGCTTTTGATTGCCATGGCAACGGCTCACGAGTCTTTTGAGGAACTCGAACATGGCGGACTGCATTCATTGTTTCATTTGTGGCGAGTATCTCGTAGTAGCAGACGCTTCTGATGTCTATTGCAAGTCTCAACCTATTCGACAGTGCTCCCAAACTCGATTTCTTTTTAAGAGGACGCTATTCTTCCGTGTGGTTTTCTCAGACTCGCGGTAAAGGTTGAACCAGGCCTCGACAGTAGCGACCTTCTGCTCCGGGAGGCCTTTTCGTTAATTAAAATTTCGAAAATTGCGCGTAGAATACACCACGCGCATTTCCAACAGGCTTGTAGTCGATTCACGATGACCCATTTTTCACTTAGTTTGTCGCATTTTTAGTATTTAAACTTCAATTTTACAACAAACACTTAACCACTGAGCTTTAATTTTCGAGACTAGAGGGTTTTTTTTTCCTTCAGAACTAATTCTTTTGAAGCAGATTTGACCAGTTTTCAGTCAAATGTTTCTAAAAAAAACTAGAGTATCCATCAGCCATATTTAATCTTTTAGCGGTGCGTAGTTCAAAAGTTATTAAATTTAAAGGTCCGCCAGATTCGTTTGCAACAGCCAAGTAAATAGATTTGCCTAAGAGGGTCTCCAAGGCCACTCGTACCCTAACGACGAGTCTAGCGGACACTCGATCGTCTTCCTCGCCACTGTTCCCTATTGCCCCCTCGAGGACATACCAATTAGTTGACCTTGCATAAACTTATCCGCTAGAGCACTTCTTCGCTCTCACACTTACTGTGAGAGCCATTACCTCGCAACTCATAGCAGTGGTGCTGGTACACCTTGGCACCAATCGAAAGTTTGTACGGCAACCACACAGCATCGGCCGCCTGGTGTAGCTTTCATTCAACTAGCCGATGATTCTTTTAGGCTCAGCAGGCGCATACAAAGTAGAATGCCTCACCTATTTCGTTTAAACGGGTCATTCTGCTACCCTTTTGTGTCAAACTTTTGGCAACATGAAGTGGCCAGGAGGCCTTATTGTGATGACGCTTTGTTATTGGCCTGTTTTGCGTTTCAAGTACAAGTGTTCAACAAACCTTTGACTATCTCATTTAGTAGCAGAAGATTAAATGGAACAAGCTGGATGAAATGTACAACAAAATTGGCAATACAAGCAGAATTTATTGGATACATGTAGTAGAAATTAGCGAGCATTCAGCTAATGCTTAAAACTACGCCGAAACTGAACTCGTAGTATACATTGTAGATGATGAATAGATGCGTAAATATTGAGGGGCGAATAAGAAGCACTCGAAACCAGCCCGACCATGTGACAATGTTGAAGGACATATTCTTCACAATTTCCATATATTGATACCTAACATAGTGTCCTATGTAACCAAAAACAAACGATATTGACATTTACGTCTAGCTCTAACCATTCCTCGTACGTCTTTCGTTATGTAAGATTCCATAGAATAGCACTTGTTTCTATTATGCTCATAGATATCCCTATGCCAAACTAACGACGGATAACAACTTTATAGCTATTCGTTAACTTATATTAACGCTATTTTTGTTTTCATTTTGTTACAGGCTCAGCAAGTCGGAATGCTTACGGAATCTCATAGCTATTTAATATCATCCTTGGTAAGTAGCCATTCGCGCTTTGCCCTCTCTTTCAGAGAACGGTTTCCCTAATTACGTATGTCAGACTCCTTTAGTTATGCCGCTGGCACACAAACGTTGAGAGTGCTGCTCGAGCTTCTGCTGTTAGATAGAAGAGATAGTGACTACAGCTTTCGGCTACGCGCCCCTATAATGAGAAAGAAGCCAGCTCACAGACCGAGCGTGCATTTCTATGCTAAAGGCCACTCGGATCACCATGCCTCGCCTAGGGCGTAGTCCACTTTGCCCCCAGGGATTTGCCGCAGGGTGGGGTAGACGGCTGCCTTACATAAGCCAAACCTTAGGCAAAGACTCGAGTGTAGCAAAAGAAATCCCGTCACTTCTTACTGCTAGGGAACATGTTCTTTTCGACACACTTTGATCTCCCAAACAGAATGATTATATGGCCTACCAAATAGGCAACTACAATGTATACGCGATGCCTTCGACTGACGGAGCGTAGGGTCGGTCATAGGGCCTGTTAAAGATCTACTGTATCAAAGCAGCATTTGCTTCAAGCGATGAAAAGGATCATAGCAAATATATCCACTTGCCAAGATGCCCGTACTTGTTACAACAAAGCCAGCACTGTAAACATGTATTAATTGGGTGGACGTATTTACGAGGCGATTACGTTTGTAGACAATGACATAAGAGCGGCTGATAAGAACCAACTGCAAAAATTCCAATGGTTGCATGGGTATCTTATTTTAAACATTGTTTCTTCTTCGTGTTTTAATTAGATAGCTTTCCTTTTGATAGAATTAATTTGATAGTATGAAACTAATTAAGGTTAAAGAACATTTATAATTGATTAATCAAAATATTTAATAGTATGAGACACAACTGTCATGATAAGAACAATGATCCGTCCGCCAATAACGATTAGGCCGCTTAAATGTGTCCCGTCCATTTAACCATTTGCAGATAGTGACTTCTTATTGCCGCTTTGTTTGATAACCATGGTGGCGGTGGTGATGATGATCGTGATAACGCTGTCCTGCCGTTCCTGAGTCCATCTCTTGAACCATTTAAGCGAGTGTCCAGAAATGGACAGCTAGCTTGACTCCCTACAATTTCGAACAACGGTTCTCGTAGTAGACACGCCTTTACGTACAGGATACTACACAATGGAAGTTCAGCTAGTTCTGTTTTGTTTGTCAAAACGTGGAGGAAATATCTAGTCTGGCAGGAACAAGGGAAGCGATGTCGCGCTGTCCGGCTTGCGTGGGTCGCAGGCTTTGCATCGCCTTTTTTACGCGCCTTTTCCTGTCCGCCTACTAGGGCGCTATATGTGTACATTGCATTTTGTACAAATATTTCCTACAGCACCACTTACGGTGGAACAGACGCCAATCGCCGACGTCAAGGCATTTCCGTCCACGCTTATTTAACCCTCCCTCATTCTGCTTCACTCTTCATTCCTCCCTCTGGATACGTGTTCATCGTCGTCTGTAGTAGCAGTCGGCGTTGTTGTTGCCACTAGCGCAATTCGTAGTGTTGTGATTGCCGCTGTTGCTGGCGATTTCCAAGATCTCCACTCTTATGATACTAAAACGACTCTGGTACTGCGGTGGTAGCAAGAAAGAGCCACCGTTTTGCTACCATGTTGCCCATACGCGCTTGCGCCGCTGTCGACGTCTCGGTCATCTTCGTTGTTGTTGTTGTTACAAACGTGTGTGAATAGCCTTGTTCATTTGAGTTAACATCGTCGCAAACTGGCAGGAATTAGCAAGCCAGCTCGCTGCGAATAACTGGAGTGAGTGAAGGGGATGAAGCGCGACATTTACGCAGATTTTGCTGCCGGAGGAGGAGGCTGAAGGCGAGGCAAAAAACGGCATAAAGAAGAGGAGGGCTTTTGGTAAAAGGGAAAGAAACAAACTATGGGTGCAGAGCAACTAGGAGGTGATGATGACGATGGTAATATTGGTGGCAACCGCCATTGCCATAACCACTGGTACGACCGGTTTCTCTACCCCCAGAGGGTGAACGCGGGTAGTCTGTGTGGGTAGTAAGTATTCGTTTTCGGAGAATACCCGTTGAAAAGTTTTTATCAGGTAACAGGGCCAGGACACACGCGGCTCTGAGGCCGTGCGGTCGTTTCCAGACAGTACTCACTTGGCTAGCAAACTAATGCAGGCTAATGCAGCGCATCAGTACTATATATGTATGCATATACATAGCAGTGCAGTTAGCGCGACGCTGCTCATCGTTGACGATCCTGCATGCTTGCCTGACTCGTGGCAAAATGGCAAAAAAAATATAGGTACCCAGCGAAGAAACGTCGTCGTACTTTTCCGTTCTCCGACTCATCTTCTTTCTTTGTTGCATTGGTCATTCCCTTTCGAGGTGGCTGGATGGTTTTAAATATATTCAGGAAACTGTGAACCTTCATGTTTAACAACATTTGAAGGCTCGACGAAAAAACAAAAAAAAAATAGCTGTAAGAATAGCGGCAACGTGAACAAAAGAAAGATGGCAGTGTTCACTAATACATTACGCATTTGCTATGAGCGAACGAAATGCAGCATCACATTTGCCAGTCTCATCTGTTAGAAGTTTATCTGTGCTTGCCCCAATGAGAAAGTGAAATTGGTTCTTACGCTTACAAATGAAGAAGAATACATCTTGTTAACGATAAAACTATTTAGAATACGTACGTGTGATAATTTCGAAAGGTGATCTTTCTATAGCCCATAAAGATAAAAGGCTGACGAAAAAACTGCTTGAAGAGGCGATATACGAGCTCAAAATAGTTGGACAATAGAGCTAAAAGCAGGGACTGATAACGATAAGCAAAGATCATTGATAATTTATGATCGAAGCTCTTTATCCGTAGTAACTTCTGCCTGGTCAATGGATTTTTCTCATTCTGCGAACAGTCCAATTGGTTACCGACAGAAGCAGCAACGGGAGCCGACGTGCTATATTTAATTTGATACATTCTCCGTTCTAAGCAGCACAAGTAGGAACATGCAAAACGCTGCTTCATCTGTCCTGTTTCTCTAAATATATACGTGCAGTAACCAGTGACTGGCGTCCTTTCAATAAGACTACCACAATAGGTACAATTAGACGAAATACACCCCTGTCCCCTTAGCTGGCACCATCTGTATACGATGGTTATATTGGCGATTATGACTTCGATAGCACCTAACGGTCTAGAGTGACGAACAGAAAGCTGATCTGAGGTGTTAGGGGGCAGGGATGTTAGAAATCGCTCCACGTTTGTTATAACTTGCTATAGTTTATTGTCATCGTCAGGCTCAAGCTACCAGTATACGAATAATGACAAGTAAAATATCATTAGCCACAACAAGACGGGAGGCCTGGTATTTATCACTGAAAAGTAAGCGTAGATTAGGACCAATTTTGATTTGCAGCTATAGATTTGATTTACTTAATTCGTAGTAATTAATCACGAGTTAATGCGTAGTTATTAGACGTGAGAAATCTACATATTTATATGTAGATTTTATGCATGAAATAGCTTTAAGAAATTGTCGACTCCTATCGAGAGATCCGGATCACGTCTCTTGGCTGAGCTGTCCTTATGTGGGACCTAAATGGTGACCTTGGCCAGGTTCTTATGAGGGAGGATCATAGAGGACGCGTTCCAACAACTTAGATTTGAATTCATGCTTTCTAAATGGCTTTTTCTAGACGACGCGCTATAAACGTCCTGTGTTTGCTTTCAGAAGATTTGCTCTTCGCCTTGTGATGCCTGTACCCAGTTAATGGCTAAACGAGGCAACCAGTTAATCTGCACGAGCACTCTAATCAGGTTTTTTAGGGACCAAAGTGGTAATCTCACCGTCTTATGTACAGAGCCCGACCCGAAAACAGTTATTTCCCGATCCTTATTTTAATATTCAATTGAGAGGGAACTGTTCCTCAACATCCTTCACTATGTAGTTTCTTTCCAGAGTACTTGCATTTCACTTGAATCATTTCTAAAGCTTACTCGGCCCGTAACCGCAGATTCGAGACACCTTTTACTCTTTACCGTAACGTTTACGGCAACCTTGCCGGCGCCTTGATGACTTCAGAACATACGATTTAGGAACAAATCATACAATACCTTAATTTGATTTTTTTCTGCCTAGTATACGAGCTTTCTCAACGGACTTTTTCCACACGAGTTGAGGAAATGCCCACATAGGTTTTCTATGGTATTTAGATTAAGCTTTCTTGAGCACTAATTCAGAACGGTGTGTTTGGTTCCAAAACCGAATCTTAACAACTCGGTGATTTAGACTAACCAAATTATGTTGAAATACATCGAGATAACGGCACAAAAAATCTCTATCCAAAATAATGGAAATTACTGTCTTTCCAATCGCTGTGGAAGATTTATATGGAATATAAGGGCGACCATTTCTTAATAATTTGTCGAGGTTTCGTAATACTCCGTTCTCTAGAACTCGAGCCGCGATACATTAAGTAACGGTGTAAGCAGCAGAAGCGCCATATATATTCTCTCCATATAAACATATGTTATTTCCACTACTACTCAATATGTTGGATATCGAGTTATATAAAATAAAACGTCATGACGTTTCGAGAGGTTATTAAGGATTGATCGTCTTTAAAGAACGATCCAATGCGGTTCGAAGCACCATTATCTGCTTGTAATCGATAGCGTGCGACCTAATTTCAAGTCGATTGTACGTTAACGTTGTAAAAGCTTGCTTTTGGGAATCTTTATCAGCATGCCGGATTAGATTTAGCTTGAGTAAATCTGTGGGGGGCAACAATTACTAGGGCGATATCAGCTTAATCTGCTACGTAGTTCATAAAAGCTATTGCATTTAAAAGCTACTTTTGCTATGCGCTAACGTATATGACCACCTCAAGGCTCTTTGATGCGCTAGAACTCAATTCACGATTAAAAGTTGTTTATTAACACCAGATCCCTTCCGAATCAAAGACACATTGTTGAAGCTTGCCAATTCCTTTGCTGTCAGACTCGTCTATTTTAC